TGTCCCCGCTCAGCACAGACGTGTCCCCAGCTCAGCACAGACGTGTCCCCAGCTCAGCACAGACATGTCCCCAGCTCAGCACAGAGTGTCCCCAGCTCAGCACAGACATGTCCCCAGCTCAGCACAGAGTGTCCCCAGCTCAGCACAGAGTGTCCCCAGCTCAGCACAGACGTGTCCCCAGCTCAGCCCCTGCTGCTCTTCCCTTCCAGCTCGTCTGACCGTGTCCTACAGCCGGAGCAGCGGCCCGGGAGGGCAGCACGTTAATAAAGGTGAGCAGGAGGCTCTGAAGGAAAAACCCTGACCTATAAATTGCTTCCTTGTGGCAAAACATTGGGAGCTTTTTCCTGCCTGATGCTCGGTTTTTTTCGTTGCCGTTACCCTGCATTTTAACAGAACTTAGTGCTTAAGCCCAGTGGGTTCTCCTAGGCACACTCTTGCTGGGGGAGCTGCTCTACACGTGTCACACAAACACCAATTTTGCCTCATCTGTCCTCACTGAGCCAACAGGCAACAAGCCAACTCCATCCTGAAACTCCACACTGCAATAAATTCTCAGCTTCGTTCAAATAAACTAAAACTCCTCCCTGTTTTGCCATTAAAAATAAGGTAATTGGTGACTGGTAACAGCAGGAAATCTGGGAAGTGTCAGGGAAGGCAAATACAGTGAGAGGATCTCCATAAAAACATAGGGATTGGAGACAAGCAGGAAAAGAATGGTGGGTTTTGAGGAAATGAATGCTGGACTCATGGTGTGATCAAAGCCAGCAGTGAGCAGGCTGGGCTATCCCATACAACTTAGGAAAATGAGCCATTACCTTGGGAAAAAAGATCCTGTTTTCCCTCCCAGTGAACACCAAGGCTGAAGTTCGGTTCCACCTGGCGTCAGCAGACTGGATCCCAGAGGCTGTGAGGCAAAAAATGGCATCAATGGTAACTCCTGTCCCCCTCCCAGCACGGTTTGAATGTCCCACTGCAGCCAGACCGTGCAGATCCTCACCAGGTTCCAGGGAACCCACCCCACGTTTTCCCCTCTAGCACAGGAACAAGATCAACCGAGCTGGGGAGCTGATCGTGAGCTCTGAGGAGTCTCGTTACCAGATGAGGAACTTGGCCATTTGCCTGGAAAAAATCAGAACCATGGTGACAGAGGCCACTGAGAAACCCAAGGTGGTGTCTAAGGAGACGACACAGCAGCTCATAGAGAGGTATCTTGGTCGAAATGGCCTTTGTTGGAGGTGGATTCAGATGGTTAAGTCTCATGATGTAGTTTGCAGCCTCTTCCAACAGTCTTAGTATAATGGAATGGTGAAGGTTGGAAGGGACCTTAAAAATCATCAGGTTCCAGCCCCCCTGCTATAAGCAGGGACACCTCCCACCAGACCAGGGTGCACAAGCCTCATCCAACCTGGCCTTAAACATTTGGATTTCCCTTTATTTTATAATAAAAACACAACAACAACAACCCCCAAAACTGGTGTTTTCAGTCTTAACTGCATTCCTGGACAGCATTCCAAGAACAAGGACTGCTTTCTTTCCCCCCCAACCCCCCTGTTTTTGACCATTTGTCCACTGGTTGAACCAGAGAACTCTGCTCAGAGTTGACTATTTAAATATGTTTTCTTCGTGCACCAAAAGATCTTTTCCTCTTTTGTTTTAGGGTGGAAAAAATGAACCGGGAACGACTGCGACAGAAGAAGCTGCACTCGGATAAAAAACAGAGCAGGAAAGCAGAGCTGGACTGAGAGCAGCAGGGCCTGAAGTCCTGGCACGCCTTGTTTTTTTACAGGAATGGCTTCAGCTGCTGGAAATGATGCTAAACTCAAAAGCTATGTTGAATAAAAAGGATCTAAAAGTGTAAATAAACCTATTTAACATCTG